TGTTTACCTAAATACTCCCATTTTACAGAGGCCATAAACCATGAACAATACACAACCCCTGGAGGGGGTTATAGGCACTGGCGCCAGGCCAGGCCTTTAGGTGTGGTCTCACGGCCCCCATCCCAACACATGGGGCTTTTGCAAAGCCAGTGTAAGGTCCAGAAGTCTGATCCTTATTTGGGGGACAAAGGAACCAAAGGGTATAAAGAGAGGGCTTCATGGCTCCATATTGGCTTGCTCAGGATTTGGAGGACTGACCCCCTGAGTCACTGTACTAGTACGTGTGAAACATCTGGAAATAAATGGGTTTTTCCTGAATCTCTGAGTACTCCTGTGTGTATATTTTCTGGTCGCCTGGTAAATTCTGTAACACTTTGTGTCTTTTTTCTTTTTTTTCTTAGTTAACCCGATCTTTCCAAGAACTAGCTTTAGTTTTTGTTAATTTCCTTTATTCATTTCCTGTTTTCAGTTTCATTAATTTCTGCTCTAATTTTATTTTTCTTTCCTCTGCTTACTTTGTATTTAATGCACTCTTATCTTTATAGTTTCCTAAGGTGGAAACTTAAATGATTGATTTTAGATCTTTTTATTTTCTATATAAATTTTATAAATTATGCATTCAGTGCTCTCAGTTTCCCTCTAACACTGGTTTTACCACATCTCACAAATTTTGATAAGTTGCCCAGCCAGCATGGCTCAGTGGTTGAGTGTCGACCTATGAACCAGGAGGTCGAGGTTCCATTCCCAGTCAGGGCACATACCAGGGTTGCGTGCTTGATCCCCAGTATGGGGCGTGCAGGAGGCAGCCAATCAGTGATTCTCTCTCATCGTTGATGTTTCTATCTCTCTCTTCATCTCCCTTCCTCTCTGAAATCAATAAAAATATATTTTAAAATATTTTTTGATAAGTTGTCTTTTAATTTTTTAGTTGAAAATATTTTCAAATTTCCTGAGACTTGATATTTAACCACTCTGTTTTATTTGGGGGTTTCCCAGCTATCTCTGTTATTAATTTCAGTTTAATTTAATCATGGTCTGACAGCAGACATTGTTTGATTTCTATTCTTTTAAACTGAAGAGATGTTTTATGGCCAAGAGGTGGTTTATCTTAGAGAATGTTCCATGTGAGCTTGTGAGGAATGTACATTATGCTGTCATTGAATGAAATACTCTATGGATATCAATTTGGCTCACTTGATTAATAGTGTCATTCATTTCAACTATGCCCTTAATGATTTTCTGCACACGGCCACTGTCAATCACTGATAGAAGTGTTGAAATCTTCAACTATAACAATGGGTTCATCTATTTCTCCGGGCATTTCTATCAGATTTTGCCTCACATATTTTGACGCTCTGTTGTTAGATGCAAACATATTAAGTATTGTTATGTCTTCTCAAAATAGACCCCTTTGTTATTATATAATGCCTCTCTATCCTTGATAATTTTCTAGCTCTGAAGTTGGCTTGGTCTGAAGTTAATACAACTATTCCAGCTTTCTTTTGATTAGTGTTAGCACAGTATGCTTTTCTCTATCATTTTACTTTTTTTCTTGAGTTTGCAATATACCTTTATACCCAATCTGATCCTCTTTTAAATAAAACTATACCACCTTATGGACAGTGCAAATACCTTATAACAGAGTTCCCATGGGATTTCTGTTCCTGCATTCCTGGTACAATAAGTTCTATTTTCTGTATCTGCCTCCCTGTCTCTTTAATTCTGGAGAATAGCAGCTGTGATCTTGAAACTCTGATGGATGTAAGAATAGTTGTTTTTAGTTTATTCATCTTTTTTTTTTTTATTGTGAGATTGGCAGTGATGACTTGTGAAATGTCAGATGTGAAGCCGCATCCATTCGCGGCTAGGGTTCAAGGTCTGGAGAAGGGGCTGATGCACAAATGGATATATCAGACAAGAAATATAAATTTAGAAATTATGGGGGAGCCAGATGGAAACCTTTCTCTAGTGGAGTGGCTCCTGAATCTCCGGACCCATCAGCTTTTTATTTACTAGAATATACATTTGCCCTTTAGCAAAGCAAACAGACATATCAATGGTTAGGTTTGGTAAATGATAAAGGATTATCAGGTTAGGGCCATGGTTGGCAAACCGTGGCTCGCGAGCCACATGCGGCTCTTTGGCCCCTTGAGTGTGGCTCCTCCACAAAATACCACGTGCGGGTGCGCATGTACAGTGTGATTGAAACTTCGTGGTCCATGTGCAAAAGTCGGTATTTTGTGGAAGAGCTGGTATTTTGTGGAAGAGCCACACTCAAGGGGCCAAAGAGCCGCATGTGGCTCGTCAGCTACGGTTTGCCGAGTCGCAGTTTGCCGACCACTGGGTTAGGGGATTGCCTTCATCCATTCAGTCAACAGCAATATTATGCTGATTCTCAGCCCTTGCTGAATATCAAAGTCCATTAGCCTTCTGATGGACTTCTTGCATTTATATGTTAACTACTTGTTGGTCTTAGCCTCCAGCATTTTCCCATTTTTGTTTTCTTAATAAATTTAGAAAGGTGTATGCCGCTTGCAGGGCTTGAGTTAAGACTTTTAGATTTAATGAAAAGGATTGAGTTCTTTCATGTCCTTTCAAAATTGTTGTCAGGCATCTAAGGAACTAGTTTGCAGTAGGCTCCTTTATGGGTTCCCTTCTCAATCACTGTCCCCTGAGACATGACAGCAATGATATTCGAGTCCTGGATAGTGGGCAAACGGTGGGCAATGGTAATGCAGGTCTGACCTTTGGCTTTGTCCAGGGTAACATGCACCAACGCACAGCTGATGACTGCTAGCACAGCAAGGTGTCTTTACCATCCCCCATCTCTGGACTGTTTCTCCTCTGTCTCGTCAGCGTGTTGCTTGGGGCTACTGCAATCTGTGGTTGGAGTAGTTTGGTCAGTTCCTCTCTCAGATCCATTGTTGAAGTTTCCACAGGGGCTTGGAGGAGTTTTCTGGAAATATACAAGCATATCCTCGACCAAAGGTTAATAAAGGGACTCTTCCATAAACTAGTCTCGGGGTCATTCTTTTTAACCTGACCATTTTCCTTTGACTTATTCTGACACCAGTGTAATTCCATGGGTGTTTTGCCATAAGCATTATAAGTGAAAAAATATAAAGTGAAAAAAAAATTTAAAGTAATTAAGGCTTGATGTTGTTTACTTACAGGATATTTCTCCACTATTCCCCCATTTTTGTTTTAACATGTAAGGGGGACATTTTTTGCTTGCTGTACAATATTTTGGCTTTTGGAAATCCTGCAATGCAGGAATAGGTTCTCTTCTAGTATAACTAAGTTCCCCTGAATATTCACTTATTTCAATTTGCCAATTTAAATCAGTCTGAAATAAGGCTTATTTTCTTTTTTTTTTTTTTAATATATTTTATTGAATTTTTACAGAGAGGAAGGGAGAGAGATAGAGAGTTAGAAACATCGATGAGAGAGAAACATCAATCAACTGCCTCCTGCACATCTCCCACTGGGGATGTGCCGGCAACCCAGGTACATGCCCTTGACCGGAATCGAACCTGGGACCCTTGAGTCCGCAGGCCGACGCTCTATCCACTGAGCCAAACCGGTTTCGGCAAGGCTTATTTTCTAACTTCATTTGTCCTTGTGTGTGGACACTAAATGACACTAATTGGATTTCTGCTGAGTATACTGACATAAGCTTTGTTTAGGAAAGCAAAATGCAAATTATTTACTTTTCTTTTTGAAGCCTAATACATTGATTTTTAATTATAGTTTTCTAGATATTTGAAGGGAATTTCCTTCTGTTTTTTTTCTCCCAGAGTAATTTCTAGATCACATTTAGGGTTTTCTTTTAAAAATCCTTTTCTTTCTTTTAAACAGAGCAACAAACTTGGTTGCTTTTCAGATGCTGGCTAATACTGTAATGCATACATATCAAGTAAAAGTAACTCTCTTTTTACTTATGGTGTCTTAAATGGTGAGATTCAATGCTTGAATAATAACTTTTAGTTTACTTTGTAAATAGTAGCAAAAGAGATTTTAAAATTTTTCCTTTTTATTAAGCTTAAAATTTACTTTTAAACAGCATTCTTTTTGGCTAGTACTCATTTGCATACAAATGCAAATTTTTACTTTGGCCTTTACTAGAACCAGGTTGCTCATAAAATACTGGCTTCTCATATAAATGAGATTATATGAGACCTTGATTATCTTATAAAAAGCTAATTTATTAATTAAAGTAGGCAACTTTATTGAAAAAGCAAAGTAAGCAAAGTTATATAAAGAGCAGGCTGTCTGAGGCTTTTTGTCTTAAAATTTCGCTGATGAATAATCTGGTTTTGCTTAAGAAGTATTCAGTAACTTTGTCCTGTCCTCCCTTAGAGGTGGAAACTTTTATAACATTTAAAATATATGTATATAAATAGAAGTTATTAATTTTTATTTGAGAAAGCTTCCCACGTGATTTCAAGTATATTAGATCAGCCTAATTTAGTTCAAAAATATTTCTTTTTAGAGAGAATAAATCTTTGAATCATTCCAGGGCTCTTGAAATGTCCCAAGGCTATCTCTAGGTTAAAGTCGTGAAATCTAACTTGGAAAGACCATCAAATATACAAACCTAAAGATTATATTACTTTTTGTTATTATTCTAAAAGATATTAATTAAATTTAAACTGGTTTTTATAATAAAAATTTGGTTGAGACCATAAAATCCTCTTTTTTAATCAGACCATATAAAATATTATATCCTAGGTTGAAATTTTACCACACATAGTACACATAAGGACTACAATCTACTTTGAACTACTAATTTCTCCAGAGAAAATGCAAGAATTATTTTTCTTAAAAATGTACTTCTAAACTTTATGCATTTTATTATCACAACCATATAATTTCTCCTAACTTAATTTGAACTTTAAACTCTTAGAAGCCTTAAATTTTAGGTGGCAAGAGAAATCCTTGGAATTTCTCAGATTGTTGTGGACCAACATTCGCGAGAGTAAGACCACCGACTCCAATTAGGTCTTAAGCAGCAAGCGAGGATTTATTGAAACCAGCCAGTGACTGCCATAGGCGTTCTCTCCTACGACAGCGTTGAACCTGGTTCTAGGCAAGCCTTTTTTACACAGAAACTACAAAACGGTTCGCTAAACACACACAAAGTTACCTGGGATACAGACACAAAGTTACCAGGGCTACATTAATCAATACTGCCCCGTTAAGGTATTAATTAACTTTGCCCTGTTGCTCCAGCTACTAATATAAACTTGCCCCGTACCCTAGACTACCCTCGACCACAGTTGGTTCCATTTCCCCAGTACAAGGGGGGCTTAACTTAACACTCCCTACTGGTCTTTAAGGACGAATTCAGACCCTGGATTCGTCGCTAGTATCCACTAGCTGATAGTACTGGGTGTGCAGGTACCAGCTTCACCTTCAGTGGGTCCTGGGTTGGTTATACTTTCTACCTCTGGGGGCTGTCACCACTGTCGCTGCCTTCACTTGGGTGCGATGGATTTAATGTCTCTTCCTGGCTACCTTGACTGCTGAGGGGGTGCTGAGGACTACAGTATACGGACCGTCCCAGCGTGGCTTGAGCCCTCCGGGCTGGTGTCTTTTCACCCAGACTAAGTCACCAGGGGAAAACTGGCTCGCATCATCCACCCCCGGGACGTCAGCGTTTCGGTGAGCCTCTTGCACAATCCGCTGGGTTGATGTGGCAGCTTGCTGGAGTGCCTGCAAAGACTTAAGCAAATTACGGGTAGAGAGACGGGCGACCTCCTCCTCCCCCATCTTGGGCACCAATGGTGGCAGTCGCCTAAACATTATTTCAAAAGGGGTCAATCCTTGTACATATGGAGTGTACCTAGCTCTGAGGAGAGCAAAAGGAAGGAGACTTACCCAGTTTTCGCCAGTCTCTAATTTTAATTTAGTTAATGTTTCCTTTAAGGTCTAATTTATCCTCTCTACCTGTCCAGAACTCTGTGGTCTATAAACATAATGTAATTTCCAGGTAACCCTTAGGGCCTTAACACTTGGAGTGCGGGTGAATTTCCCGCCAAAATATAAGATGGCTCTGTCTTTTGGTTTTGTTCCATCCACCAAAAGGGTGGATTACAAACAAATATTTGGTAATACGCAGTTACAATCGGCCCGAGTTTACACGTTTCCCGCACTCCACCGCAAATCTATATGAACCGAGTTAAAGACGGCTCCCGCGGAGTACGCGCAATTCACGCGAGCCGACTTAACTTGTTTCCCGCACTCCAAGTGTTAACTATGGATTGTGTAACTTTGGCGATAAACGCTGGGCTATTGTCAAACCCCATGTATAGTGGTAGGCCAAATCGGGGGACAATTTCAGTGAGGAGTTTCCTAACTACTACCTGTGCTGTCTCTGCCTTGGTTGGGTATGCCTCAGGCCAGCGAGAGAAGGTATCAATGAAAACCAGCAAGTATTTATACCCTCCTTGTCCTCCTGGTATCTTGGTGAAGTCCACTTCCCAGTGTTCTCCGGAGTTCTGACCTCAGAATCGCTGCCCTGGCGTGGCCACAACAGGGGGCCCTTGGTTCACCCGGGCACACACTTGGCACCTTCTAGCTAAGTCTTGGGACATTTTCTGGAGCCCTGGGATGTAAAATTCTCTTCCCGGTAGTTCCGATAGCTTCGTTCCCCCCAGGTGGGTGCTCTGGTGGGTCTGGGAAGCGATGGTCTGCCCCAGGGCTTCTGGCACTATAGGCCTCCCGTCTGGCAGAATCAGCCATCCAGCCTCTCCTTCCCGGGCCCTTAGTTTCTCAGCTAGCCTCTGCTCCTCTGGCAGATGAGTAGGCTTCTCTGGGAGCCTTTGTGCTGGCAGGGCTATGAGAACTTCTAGGGGCCCTACTGGTCTTTTAGCCACTTCCTTGGCCCCTATATGGCTGCTAGGAGGTTGAGTATCTCAGGAGCATTTTTAATGTCCTTTCCTCCTGAGGTCAGGAGTCCTTAAGGTGGCTCCTGTGTCCTCCTGTAAGGGCAGTGTGAGGAGATATATCCCTGCAGTCCCTGGGTAGGTCTGGCAGGATGAGTGCCGGGGCGCTCACCAGGGCTTCTTTCTAATCCTGGCAGATTGCAGATCTCCCCTGGCTCCTCCTCATGTCACTACTGCCGCCCCTGCATACCGGGTACCTTCCTCTACGAAGCTGCTCCCGTCGGTGTAGAGGGTCTCATCCGGATTCTGCAGGGGCTGGTCCACAAAGTTCTCGCGGAGGGAAGTGAAGGTAGTCAGTGTCTCGTCAGGGAGGAGTGTGGCCGTGTTCAAGGCGGCTGTTTTCAGAAAGCTGAAATGTTCCTTTCCCCTACCAGAGGGCCTGAGTGAGTGCTGAGTTCCACAAGGAAGTCCACCTTTTGGCCCCCCTCTGTCAGGGTTATCCTGGGTTCTCAGGGGCCAGCTGAGCCCTGACAACCCTAATCCACCTCCTTCACCAACATGGGAGTCGGTTCCCTCGCACGTTCAGGGCACTCCCTTTTCCAATGTCCTTCCTTTCTGCAAAATGCACACTGATTTTTCCCAAGCCAGGGTTGGACTTCTTTTCTCCCTCGAGGCTTTTCTTTGCCCTTCTTGTCTCTCCGGCCCCTTGGGCCTTTTTTTCCTTGCTTATGGCCAGGAGGACCTTCGCCATCCAGGTGTTTAAACCTGCCGTCGGGTCCTCCCGATTGTTAAAAACCTTCTGGGCCACCTCAACCAACTCAGAGATTGATTTCTCCTCAAAGCCCTCTAACTTCTGCAATTTTTCTAATATCTGGAGTCGACTGGGAAACAAATGCAACATTGACAGCCCTCCGATTTTCCGGGGCATTAGGGTTAGGCCCCTGGACTGTCTTTGTCACCTTAGAGAGGTTTGTGGGTCTCTGAGCAGCAGCTCGGATGCCCCTTAATAGAGTCTGGCGATACCGATCGAGAGCCTCCTTTCCCGTTACTATTGGGGTTCCAGTCGGGTAGCCTGAAGGGAAACACAGCCTCTAATCTGTCTTGGTCAGATGTAGGCTGTCCATCCGGACCCAGAACAAGTTTCCTCCCTTCTGCCCTGACCCTCTCTCTCTCTCTTCTGAAGTGAGAAGGGTTTGCAGTAGCTGCTGACAATTATAAAAAATCACGGACTCCAAAAGAGAGATTAACCCTGTGGGTTCTGGGAGAAAGAAGGACCCCGGCCCCTCTAACCGTACCGGCCACTGGTAGAAAATGGGACACAGACCACAAAAGGCTGCCTGTCTGGACCCAGGTCCAGACAGCCTGCCTGCCGCAGTGGCAACACAGGAGCGGGACCAGGGGACGCCTGCAGGGCCCCACCGGCCCTCCCCCTCCGTGCCTGCACACGCTGTCCCCTGCCCAGTTCGAGGAGGGGAGAAAGCAGCCGGGCCCTGGACTGGTGTTTCCGGAGGAAAGGAAACCGGCTGTGGAGGAGGCAGGGCTCCGATCAGGGTCTTTTGCCACCGTGGGACCAGTGGGTGGAGGAGTATACGGGGGAGGCCTGACCCTGGGGAGTGCCTCCTCACCCAGACCTTGGAGAACGGGGGGTTTTGCCCTTCTGGGCCGAAGCCAAGAGGACTGTCTGTCTCTGTCCCAATTTATTTTCCTCATTCTGGCAACTCTTTAACCACCTGTTTTTCAGTCAAAATATCGACCCACACTTGAATATAGGGAATTTGGTCGGGGTGACCCGGCCGGCCGTAGACAACATGGTGAACCTGAAAAGCGGTGGTTAAATCATAAGTCCCTACGTCCAGCCATCCCACCTGGAAAGTGGGCCACTCCCATTCAGAATTTCTGCAAATCAAAAGCATTAACATCTTAACCTTTAAATCTACCCTAGAACTTCAATTTAATACAGTAAATTTACAACCTAGGTAAGAGCAACTGATAGACAGAAATTTTTATTAGCTAAGTGGGCTGATTTCCCTTTAATAGTGAGCAAAAGACTCTGAGAAAAATAATTCTTGTTGCTGCCAAGAGACTTTTGCAGACCATTACGGGTCCAGCCCAAACGTTCAGCCAGGCCTATCAACAGAAAAGCAGAATAAATTAAAGTAGCTTTCACTTCATACAGACCAGTTAATGAGAGTAAATTGGCTAGTCCCACACAAACAAACAGCTGTTTCCAACATGCAATTGAGAACAGTGGGTTCACTTTGTCCCGACCCCATGATGATCGGTGGTGAGAGACAGACAAGGGAGGGGGTGACCTGTTTTCACAGATCCTCATGCAGATGCCCGCCTGGCCGCGTCCCTTAGGAGCTTAGATTCGTCTTACCTAAGGTGCACCCGTATAAACCCCGGGCCTGGTCACCTCCACTTGGGGGTGAGTCACCATTATGCCATATGACGAATCGCGGAACCGCAGGTTGGGGCCCACTCGGACTCCGTAACCGAAGTCGTGGAGCCACATAAAGGAGAGGAGAGGGCAGGCCCCCTCCCTCCACACTCATACACTTTTGCCAGATATTCACTCAGAGTTTAAACAATCCACCCGATTCCTAATTCCCAATTCCTGAGGGAGCTCTATGGCTTCCCGGGGGGGTGATCAAGCTCCTCTCCCACTCACTCGGAGTGAGCCTGACTGACAGGGGGTCGACGAAGATGACTGACCCTAACCCATTTTGATAAAGACAAAGACAACAAAGAACAAAGACAAAACAAACCAGACAAATGCAACCTAAGGTTGCCCGGAACCTGCAGCTCGCTCCTTGAAGTCCTGAAAACACTGCAGTGGGGAGCACACAGAAGCAGATGACTTTTTGACAACAAATACCAGATAACAAACACCAGACAGACAAACCCAGTGCAACTGAAAGTCACACTTGCCAGATGCCGTGGCCACCGTTGTGGCCACCGGCTGGAGTCGGGAGGTAATGCTGCATCCAGCCCTCCACTTGACTCCCCTCTGTGAGATCTCACCCCAGGTGCCTCCAGGCCTTACCTCCTGCAGGGTTTTTCAATAAGTCCTCGCTGCATGTCCGGCAATAAATGGGGGAGAGCCTCCTGCCTTAAATAGGGGGTCCCTCTCACCCCTGCCGGGGGAGAGCCTCCTGCCCTAGATAGGGGGTCCCTCTCACCCCTGCTGGGGATCTCGCTGAGGCCTCCAAATGTTGTGGACCAACTTTCGCCAGAGTAAGACCACCGACTCCAATTAGGTCTTAAGCAGCAAGCGAGGATTTATTGAAACCGGCCAGCGACTGCCATAGGCGTTCTCTCCTACGACAGCGTTGAACCTGGTTCTAGGCAAGCCTTTTATACACAGAAACTACAAAACGGTTCGCTAAACACACACAAAGTTACCTGGGATACAGACACAAAGTTACCAGGGCTACATTAATCAATACTGCCCCGTTACCAAGGTATTCTTAATCAACTTTGCCCCGTTGCTCCAGCTACTAATATAAACTTGCCCCGTACCCTAGACTACCCTCGACCACAGTTGGTTCCATTTCCCCAGTACAAGGGGGGCTTAACTGTAACAAGATTAGTAATATCTTCACATTTTTAAGGATATATTTCAAATAAAATATAAGACATATTTAATAGATTCAAATCTATCCTTTAGATTTTTCATGAGGCAAACTCAGATTAATATTTCAGTATTGTTATTTCAAAATACTTGATATTTAATAATTTTTATTATGTAATTCAGCAAACTCCAGGGTCTTAAGTTACCAAAGGCTTTAGAAATAGAATGTTTAGAGGGGAAGGAGGGAAGCAGGCCTCCAGGCACCTTTGAATTTTAAAACTGTCACATTTTTCCTTAGAGATAACATCTAAGGTTGCTGCTGCGGGAAATGAGACCTGCCCCTTCTACAAAAAAGAGCACAACCAGTCTCCCCTGAGTGACTGGACCCCCACTGCCAATATACCTATAATCATCACTGAAAAGCTCAACCACAAATCCTTCATTTTAGCTACATCTATTTATTTATGTTTTAACAATTTTGAGATTTTGAAGCCAATTATTATTATCCAAGGCATTTTCTTTGGCAAATTCTGTAACAGAGATAACTTAACTTTCAGTGACTTTAATGTTAACCTTGGAATGTGGTCCATTATTATTCAAAAACTACCTATTATTATGTAAACACTAATTTTGTTGCCTAAACCCAGCCTGTATATTTTCCTTGTGTCATTTTTGCCATCTTTTAAAGAAAAACAGTCTTGGGTTTATTCTATAGCATCTGTAGAGATGGGGCTCATATTTAAGAGGCCACCCAAAATTGGGCAGGGGCGCGCCTTCTCTTAAGCTAGCCTTTTCTCTTCCCGGGTACAGAAATCCCAGACGGATCCCTAAATTCTGAGAAATGTCTCATCTACCCAAATTTCAAATGACGGACTGGGAAATAAAAACATGGTGAAAATGACACTTTTGATGGCACTCTCGGGAGTGGGCGTCCATTTTACAAGATCACCAAAGACTAGGAATTCATGGGCTGGGGCCTTTTTAGTTATCTCTACCTCTCTCTGTCTCCTAGGACATGTACCATCGGCCACGTGTCTCCCCACCCCACATCATGTTTGCTCTGGGGAAATTCAGTAAATGGCCTGGCCACCTAGGTTTCTTTTCTTATTAAATTAAATTAAATTAAATTAAATTAAATTAAATTAAATTAAAGGCATGCTTAATAGACAAACAATAAGCAACAAAGACAGATAAAACAACAATCAACGGACAAGCACCCATAACATATAGACAAGACTTAATAAATCAGAGTTCTTTTCATGAATCTTTTCAGATGTTTTACATTTGCCTGGGACTTACAGCCAGAATGCAGCCCGGACAGCGTGGCTCAGTGGTTGTGCATTGACCTATGAACCAGGAGGTCGAGGTTCGATTCCCGGTCAGGACACATGCCCAGGTTGTGGGCCGATCCCCAGTGGGCGTATAGAAGGCAGCCGATCATTGATGTTTCTATCTCTCCCTCTCTGAAATCAATAAATATTTTTAAAAATCAAAAGAATGAAAATTTCCCTGACAAGATACTAAGAAACAAAATTTTGCTGGCAGGTTGTTTTAACTGCAACTAGGATACTGCAGTTCTGACACCAACAACCTGGAATTAGCACCAGACTTCCCAGGTTTAAGGGCCCAGTCCCCACAAGCCTGTCCATTCTAGATGCCAGCTGCTGGTGGAGCCCGTCCCCTCTGGCTGACTGCTTACAAGTATGAGGGTTCCCATGATGCCCTCAGGTTCAAGAATTCACTAAAATGACTCACAGAAATCAGAAAAGCACTGTCTCTATAGTTTTATTATAAAGGATTCAAGTTAGGAGGACCAGACAAATGCTGACACACAGAGGGCGAGGTCTGGGAGCAAACAGCTTCCACACCCTTTCTTGGTGGGATCAAGGCACTTCGCCATCTCGGCACATCAGTATGCTCACCAATCGGAAAGCTCCGCTGCGCTTTGGTGGCTGGGGCCTCACCATTTAGGCACGATGGTCAAGATCAACCGACGCGACTGAACGGCTACTCAGAATTCAGCACCTTGCAGGTCAGGCCTGCCCGAAGTCCCACCCTCCACAACAGAGCTCTGAGGTCCTCCTGGTGACTTGACCCATCCTAAAGCCACAGAGGGGCTCACCACAAGTCACCTCATTAGAATCACAAAGACATTCCCATCAGCCAGGAAACCCAAAGGCTTCTGAAGCTCCTGGTCAGGAACCCAGGACAGAGACCAGGCACGTGCCCTGTGATATGACAGTAGGCAGGGCTGAACTTCGAAAGATCACAAACCACTGTCATAGCTAAGATTCTTTCACTCACCGAGAACCAATTTGCACCCCTAGTGAGCCTCTAAGACAATGAAGAGACAGTCTCCCAAAACAAGACTGGATTTTATTGTGAAGTCTCTAGAAGTGGGACTAGTATTCCTCTGTACAAAGCCCACACCAATGGTTTTAAGTACACGGAGAGAAATGCAAGTGCTAGGACAATATTTGATACAAGCTGAACCATTTACAGATACACTAAAAAAATTTAAAATATCGTCTTTCTCCACAGAGTCCATTGCGCATTTCCTGGCGCAGGATGGGGAGCCAAGAAGGTCACAAAGGCATTTTGTTGCCCTCGATGCTGATTTTGACCGCGTGTGCAGATCTGCTTTTTTTCCTGATGTCTGTGAACTTCCTCATCTGCTTATCCAGCCGACTGATGCCCTTCTTGGAGGTCCCCTGAAACTGAAAGTGGGAGGGAAATTCAAGAGCCATCACTGAAACACATGCCCCTAGATTAGCTTCCATCTCCGTTCATCGGAAAGTCAGCAGTCAGGAGAGCTCCCAGCTCGGGAATAACCAGACATGCTGTGGTGACTTCCGGAGCAGGAGAGCAAGGGTCCCAGAATGTTAGAAAACACAAGACACCCTCCGTGCAAAGTAATTCTGTCTGTGCCTTATGGGTAAATTTTGTCTCAGTCCATGGAAATCTCCTCGATGAATGAAAGGAGGAAAAATAGAAACTATAATCCCCAATTCCATCAGATTACATTTTGCCTGTATGCTTTTCCCTTTCAAAAACTAAAGTGGAGTTGATCACTTGACAGATGCACCTTCACACGGAGCTGGGAAAAGGAGAGTCATCCGAGGAAAAGCTGTGAGTATAATGGCTGGGCCAGAGGGTCAGCAAGGCAAACCCGTGAAGTGGAGCTCTGGCTCCACACCTGGGGGAACCCCTGCTCTGCTCGGCAGGTTCTGTGACCCTGGGCAGGTCACGCCTCGGGTCGGCGCTGCTCTCAGGACTGCTGGGAGACGTAAA